TTTGTCATAGATGAAATACTATTCCTTAACAATTTATATAAATAAAAGTATACTTTCTTAGTGTCAGTATCTACTTCTCTGTGCATACATGTTAAAATATTATCTGCATCAATAGCCATTCCCAATAATCTGTTGATTTCTTCACTAGATTGGATTGATAAATGTTTAATATGATTTTCTAAAGGATGACCGCATAGTTTGCATGGATCAGAAAAGCTTATAACAGGCTGTATTATCTCGCCCTTGGACGATTTCATAATCGGTTGCGCATTCTTCCAGCCTATACATTTGCATTCCTCTGTTTGACAAGCACTGTAATTTGCAAGCTTCAACAATTTCTTTTCCTGCGGCCAGTTGTATGTCTGTTGCTTGCGTTGTTGTATCCTTTGAAGATTACTCATCGGATTTACCTGAGTCTGTGGCTTGGTTGTATTTGCATCTTTATTACCGGTTTCCTGCTGCGAAGTATTAGTAACATGTTGTCCAGTCTCTTCTGAAGAAGCCAACATTGGGTGAGAATTGATGTCATTGGATGCCATCCTTAGAAAAATCATTATATTTATATTAAAAGTTATTACTTACATAAAAGTAGAGCGTATATCATTAATTAGAAAGATTCTTTGAAGAAAATAACGCATGCATTCATTAACTTATATTAAAAACTTCTGCAATATAAACAAAATATTGGCGCGAACCAAGTCAATTATATATTTATTCTCGAATGTATTATTAGCTGATGTATTGAATAACAAATATTCAATAATATTTTGAATTAAATAATTGATTGTAATGCTCATACGTTATTATTTCGCTATTTTAATCACGTTTTTCACAGGTTGTTGATATCGTTGATTTAAAATACAATGCCCAAATATAATTAGGGTTAGGTTGGATTATGTGAGTTCTTTCCTTGTACCTTTACGCACATATGCTACAATTTACACGTTCGAATTGCGTGTGAGTTGAGCATAAAGAAATTTACGTGTTACAGTATTAAAAAGGTACCACTGTGCTCCAGAAGAAAAGAGAGATATTTATAAAAGAAGAAATAAAAGCCGTAGGATTCAAGAGACAAATTGCAAAACGATTTATTTCCGTGATTGAGGTTAGAAGTTGGTAGCACAGTTTATTTATCTTTTACGCTACGAAAAAAATGGCAGAAGGTTTCGGAAGAGAAACTCCACCGATCTACAACGAAGAAACCAAGAAACCAACTGCGGGACAACCTTTGTCGGACTTTTTACTGCAATTGGAGGATTATACACCTACGGTATTAATCTATCATTAATTCTTGAATAAATTTCTCTAAAGAAATATCGCGTTTCAATAAAAGTTTTTTTATTTATGCACTTCATAATGCATTGTCACATGTCTTGTAATGTTAATGTTAGATACCTGATGCTATCACCGAGCATTACTTGCATACAGCTGGTTTCAATACCACCGACCCTAGGATGTAAGTATAAATATGATATTGTTCATGTCATTATTGGTTGAGTATTTTGTTAATTAATCTTTTAATGTCTATTAAATAAATCTATCGACTAATGATCCGTATTGACTTCTCATTATTTTAGAGTACGCCTAGTATCTTTGGCAGCACAAAAATTTATTTCTGAAATTGCCAACGATGCGCTGCAACATTGTAAGACACGTGGTGCTAATCAGAATACAAAAACAAAGGGAAAAGACCGACGTTATACCCTGACTATGGAAGATCTGACACCAGCAGTTGCAGAATATGGCATAATTGTAAAGAAACCACATTATTTTGTTTAATTCAAAAAACTGCAATTTGATGTATTCTTTTCTTCATTATGTCGCTTCAAATATTTAATGAATAACGCAGCGAATGTTTAATGAACATGATTCCGTTTTTGAGTAAAAACCTTTTACTAGGACCAAGGTTATATGCATAAAGTGATAATTGTTCTGAAAAGGTAGAGAAAAGGTTCATATGTTTTAAATAGTAAGCTTTATTTTGCATGGAATGGATACTATTATATGAATAAGTTTTCTGTAAAGTTTCATAATTACATTATTTAATGGCACGAATATATGAGTATATCATTGTGCAACTATCATTGCTAATGTTTTTGTAAAAATGTAACAACCAATTTAATATAATAAAAGATATCTATAGGTATACTATATTAATTTGTTTTTAATGTTTTATATATATATATATATTGTTATATATCCGAGCCAAATATGCATACAAATATAACAAAATGGAAAATATTAGGGGGGATATAATCAGTAAGGAGACTATATAATTGAAATTCCAAATGCAATTTTGAATCGAATAAAAATGTAAAATATAAAATTCGAGAATCGATGATGATAAAGTAATAGGGAATATTAACAAAGAGATAGAAAAATTAAAAAAAATTTTCAAAAATTTAAAGAGAATTTTAAATCACAAAATTCAGAAAGCCCGAAAATTGACAAATTGAAGTATCTAAAAGATGATACTAATTAAAATAAAATAAAAATTTGATTATAATTTGATTATATTTTCATGTTTATTATAAATTTCATTATGATTCTATATATAAAATATGTAAGCTATTTTACCGATCGCAAGATATAAGTCATGGAGCATGAATAGTTAGATACGATATTCGGATTCTATTCGCAATCGTAGTGCGTCATCTTGAATATCAAGAAATTCATGACGTTGAGTATATGTACGTAAATATCAGATCCCATAAAAAGAAATGCTGCGATTCAAGATAAGTAGTTGAGGCTTGATCGTAAAGAGATTGTTCTTAGACGGTGTTATCCAATTAATGGGCGCATCGTTCGCAAAACAACATAACGTCAACATGAGCAGGTTTTCATTATTATTTGGTATCGTGATTAACCTAAATTTAACCACCTGTATTTTATATAAATAAACGTAATTTCTTGCCTCAGTTCTGAGAATAAAGAATCAAAGAAGGATGCCAAGCAAGGTCAGTCAAGCAAGGGCAGCAGTGCGAGACCGTTGTCTATCGAAGGTCCCTCAACCTCTAGTAATGTCAATCAAACTCCGTTGCAACCATTATCAAATCAACCAAGACAACCAACAAACTTGCAAGGATTGCTCAAGTACGCCATGGATGCGGCACAATCTGAAGATATGGAAAATAAATCGGTCTATCCTTTGGATGAAGAAGTATGAAATTTCATTTAAGATTATATTCTTTATTTATCATATTGTTTATCTGACGAAATATCTTTAAATTATAGAAAAAGACATTTTTGAATGCGGCGTTGTCATCATTAACGGTGAACGTAATAGAAGAATTACACAAAGCTTTACAGATCTTGTCTAATGTTGTCAATTTACGAGCAGACGATGATTCGTCAGAATATGAGAATACTTTAGAGAGAATGGCAGATTTTGTAGACAATATCGACATAGCCAATGATTTTTATAAAATTGGAGGTTTCTCAGTATTTCAACCATGCTTGAATTCTTCACATAGTAATATCAGATGGCGTATAGCCGATATCATTGCTGAATTAGCACAAAATAATCCATTTTGTCAAGATAAACTACTAGAAGCTGGAGTATTCCCAGTGTTATTATCTATGATCGATACAGATCCATCAGAACAAGCCAGGATAAAAGCTCTGTATGCGGTATCGTGTAAGTAACAAAACAACACGAATCTGTTTTGAAACTCAAACTTTTCTCATTGATCATATTTTGAATACAGGTATAGTCAGAGGACATCCAGCATCATTAAAATATATGAATGCAAACGATGGTTACTCAGTGCTTTTACGAGCAATGCAAAGTCCGGTGGAAAAGTTACAGATAAAATCCGCATTCTTGCTTTCGAGCTTATGTAGTAAGAATGATTCAAATGATGTAAAATCTACATTGATAAAAATGGGATTCATAGAGCAAGCAGCAGGATTGTTGGGTAGAATGAACTTGCAGCCGGCAGTCAGGTAATGTATCTATGATGGAGGATCTTGGTAATAATATTATTTTCTTTGTATCAAACATAAAGTGAATATTTTTTTATTGTAGGGAGCAATTGTTGAGAGTGTTGAGTGGTATGGTGAACGATAACTTTTTGCCAGCATTACAAGAGTGTCGCCGATCACAGTTATGTTTAAGATCCACCTTGGAGCAATTGTTGACAGAATTAAAACCAATGGAAAATCAGGATGAGATCGATATGTGCTCCGATCTTTTGGACAAAGTGTTTTCCGAGCCTGATATGAATCAAGAGAGATAACAAACTTGTACCTAAAATCTTTTTTATAAATAAAGCATGTAGCATTAGTTTATAATGTAACATTTGCGATATTTAAATATTCATAATTAAGGAAAAAAATGCGAGTAAAGAATTAATAAATATACCAAGTGAAATGGATTGGAATATTTCATTTAACCAACGTTTAAAGGACCAATTTCTGCCACGCGATTGACCGAACTAGTCAACTGACGAAATTTGTTTTTGAAATCCGTCGTGTCGCGATTGACGTACACGTGTGACTTCCTGTATTTTAAACACACGTGCGTATGAGCTGGCTGCCCCTCTCGCGTACTCCGAAAGTATAAACCGGCGTTTCCTCAGATTAATCCGATCAATGGAATGCTCACGCACATCCGGCGGTGCGTCAATCAGAACGGTTCGTTTCATCATCCATCCCCACCATGATCAACTCCGCTGATGTGTACACCGCTACTTTACTCTGTCTCTTCCCTGGCTCGCTTTGCTCTCCCTTGACGTCTTTCTCTCTCCTTTTGCCACTTGCGCGCGGTCTGGTCTAGTTCGTCGAGCGTTAGCCGGCTAGTCAGCCGGTAGTTCTCATTGAATCAGGTAACTCGTCCTTCCGTTCCGAATCTGACCTTCTGACCAAATGTCACGGAAGTACTTCGCCCGAGTGTACGTTCAAGCATTTCTGAGATCACGAAGGAGAGAGGCCAAATTTTCTGGATTTTTCGTGGTAAGCTGACCAATTGGATCCAGGATCGATTCTAAGTGGATTGGAATCATCGTAGACAATACCAGGATAACAGGATGAAACAGGAATTCAAATTCATCGATATGAAATTTCGTAAGTTATTCATGGAGGCTATAAACACGTGGATCATTGTGCATTAGCGCAATGGTCGAGAATTTTTTCGTTGATTAATTCTGTGTGTCAAAAGTGAAATTGGAACCTGGAATTTTCAGTCACGCGGAATCGCAGAGTTAAGTGATAATTTCCTGCAAATAGAAAATGGAATTATAAAATAGCGAAATTTTCGTTTTGTAGAAAATTTATTGTACATATTTAAATACGAAAAAAAAAAAAAAAAAAAGAATTTGAATACTATCCGCATTGAGATGGATAGAGAGATGCGGAAACTAAGCCTGGATATAGAGCCTGGATTTTTAAAGAAATTGATAAACAATTTAGATAGACGTGTATCGTGACCCGTGCTTCTTAAATGCAAAAAGGCCACCTACAAGACAATTCCGTGATTATTTTACAACAAGAAGGTCAGATGCAATAAATTACAATGAATTCTTGACGAATAAACGTAATCGCACGACGCTGAGTTTTTAATTTAAAAATACCTGCCTGGAACATTAATGATATATTTATGAGCAACGGGACGAGAGGAGAAGGAAAGAGAAAAAAAAAAGAAAAATAAAAAAAAGTAACGTAAAAGGCTCGCTTGTGTCACTGCTTTCTGTGGGAGATCATGGATCATACGGAAAGGAATGAACTCTGGGTGTTTGGATACGGATCGCTCTGCTGGTATCCCGGTTTCTCGTACATTAGAAGTACGACCGGTTACGTGAAGGGTTTTAGCAGACGATTTTGGCAGGGCAACACCACGCACCGTGGAACAGTCGAAAAGGTGAGGCAAACCGCCCCTCGTCTTTTCTCCTCGTTATTTCTCCTTAACTTTCTCCGCGATTAATTGTCATCGACGCGATCACGTCGTTACACAGTCGGCTGCATTCGGGAGGACCTACGCGTTCGGTGGATGACTCAAAAGGGACAAGGCCCGTTTCTTGCGAAATCTGCATAGTGTATCTTTCCCCGTTTTTTCCAACGATGGAAATTCGAATGACCGAAACCGATTTCTAAATGCATAATTTTACGCTTGACGAACCACCGCGATAATGAATTTTTTTTCTTCGGGGATGTCACGTCCCTCGGTAGAAAAAAAAAACTGTATCCCTTGAAGAACGCGATCGCTCGCAAAAGTTTATGTATTCGTATTGTTATGTATTTACGTCATGTATATATATCATTCGATAAATTTCGAAAAACAAACATTGTAGGATTTTTTTGCGCAACAAATTTAAGAATCGTCGAAGTCTCTTGAACAATAATAATATCTACGCCACTGACGTCGTTACTATTTGTTATATTATTTTACACGGTAGCTCTTTGCGTATTGATAGACGTCCAACGCGCATCTTCGGTTCACGTGATAATAAAGATCGCAGCAGCTGTTCGGACTTTGGATAAAGCAAACATCCTTATGGCAACGACCTTATGTGATAAAATAACAAACAAAATCTTACTTTATGAATAAGAATTCGCCGTAATTAATTACTCTCTTTATTAAAGATTGAGTATTATCTAGAGTTACAAGCATCGACTTACAAAAAAGGACACGTCCTACATTCGCCATCGCATCGCTATATATATTTACACGTTGAAAATTCAGTCAATTCCGAAATCATGTAATATCAATTCCGTGCGTATGTAAAACGCGTAATGTTTAAATGTTTTTGTAATGTATATACAAAAAATTTATTATTTAAAATATTCTAAAAATGCTAACAAGTTACATTTTCTCGAAAATTCAAGCTACTAAATATAAAATTGATCAAACTAAAAGAAATCAGGAGATAATAAAAAAAAATTATAATAAATTATAATAAATTATTTAATTCGCATCAAGCATAATTGATGATTACACTTTTTTCGTTTATCTCGAAAACTTTTCCGCTTATTGTTAACGTTAACGTTTAGTCGCGAACCTCTGGCGAACGTATTCATTGATATTTATAATACATTTTTACGTGTCATACATTATGCACGTGATTTTTATTTTGAGTTCATTTGCGAACTCTATTAATATCTGAATTTTATTACGTTTTATTTCGTCGCCGTATGTCGCGCATTCTTTTTCTGGCGCTGGCCCAACCGTACATTTTTCACGACATTCATCATTTTATACACGCTTGTTCAGTTTGATAAGAGTCCATCGACATGTACGTGATTTCGATAAAAATTGCGCGCGGACCGGAATTTGAAGGACGCCGTGCGAACGTAACGTGCACCAAGTAAAAATAGTATACTCGAAATTCACTTTGGTCCCCTCTTTGTTTTCAAACGCACAAGGAAACTCACGCGCTTTGTCACGTTCTTCTTTGTTTTTTCTTTAATATTTTTATCTTTCCCCTCTTCTTCCTAAATAAAAAAATAAGAAGAATAGCATTTATAAAATTATTTTCAATAACTAAAATTAAAATTTCTAAAAAAATATCCTTAAATATTCATAAAGTAAAAGATGTATATTTTGTCTTTAACATTTGTGATTTTTGCGATAACAATACATATGAAGTTACTCTTGTGAAATTATCATAAGGGAGAAATCCTTAAACATCCGAGATTTTTGTGTTTCAAAAATGTCATTTCATATACATTGTCTTCGTCAAAATAGAATGACGTATTAAATAAAACAGAATACGTATATAAACGTCTGTGCTTTCAAGATTAAAAATGATCGTTTTTCACTTAAATGTGTATTTGCATATAGAATTCTAGAAGTCTTAGTCTTCTAGAATTTCCAATATAAAATGTCTGGAAGTTATATTTTCCCTTTTCTGAAAGATGAGAGAAAAACAAATGAATGTTGTAGTAATGCGTTTTGTATTACACTTACGTATAAATTACGCGAAACTGTATATATATATATAGAGCCAGTTACAAACTTGTAGTAAGTGATATCTTTGAAGAGAGATAAGTGTCATGGATTACTCTTTGTTTCACATTCCACATTATATTTCATAACAGTGCGATATCTGCGCTTTCTGCTGACAAACAAATCCGTATTGTATATTATGTGATGATGTATGAGCACGTGAACGTGACGTATACATAATCCCTTAATGAAAATCGAACTTGTGTTGTCATCAGTACCTTCAGAGAAATTTATTCTTAGATACAAATTTTGATATCGCGCAAAAAAGAAGATTCAAGTGCAATTCAAATGATTAAATTACAAATTTACAAATATATTCATTTTTATGGTTAATTTTTCGTTAATCTCTCACATAAAATTGAATATTATTGAACATCGTTGCTTCTCTTATGTTGCAGCCTGGCCGAGTTGTCACTCTGATCGAGGACAAAGAGGTACGATTTAATTACTACTCGTTGCAATCGCAATACAAATTTCGCCTATAAGAATGAACATACAGTATAGATTTCTATTTTTATTTGCCCTACAGGCCCTAGTTTACGGACGAGCGTTCCAGGTTCGGGACAGCGAGGCGTTGTCCTATTTAGAAAACCGCGAGTGCGCTTTAGGAGGATACCTAACGACGATCGCAACGTTCTACAGCCGGAACGGGGACAAGCAATTCCCGGTGATAATCTACATCGCTACCAGCAAGAACGAGCAGTGGCTCGGCGAGACGTCGTTGCAGACCATAGCACGTCAAATCACTGAAAGTTCCGGTCCGAGCGGACATAACGTCGAGTATCTCTTACGGTAAGAAATATACCTAGGTGAGAGATAGATTCGTTATTGTATTTGTTATATTCGATATACGTTCATAACATTTCCAATTATATAACAAGATAATAAAAGTCTTTTTTCCCCGTGTGGTATGACAGCTTGGCGGAGTTCATGCACCGTTACATACCGGAGGCGCACGACGAACATCTCTTCACGCTGGAAATGCTGGTGCGCTCGCGAATAAAGGAGGATAGCATGTGCCTGGCGACGCTGATGGGAAATCGCGACTTCGTCATCGACCTCGACGAGGACGTGGAACCGACCGTTCGCGCGGAGGAAGTTAACGCCCGACCCCGCGAGAATTCCTTCCAATTCAGTGCGCGGATTCCGTCCAAGAGCTTACGTTGCGTCAAGATGTAGCTAAATAGAATCGCACAGCTCCGAGTACTTTCCCAATACTTTTTCAGTTCTCAGAAAACATTTTCCAAACAGCATGTTGTTGAGATGACACTCCAAACATCCCGGCATCATTTTAGGTTTTTCGGAAACAACGCGAACATTTCAAAATGCTTCTCAGGCCACTCTGGACATATTCTGAATGATTTTGGTATACATCTTGTGTGTTATTTGGATTATGACGTTTTAAGATATTTTTTAAATAAGTATGTTATTTAGGTTTCAACTTTGATCGCAGATTTATGTGTGATAGCGGCAGCTATTCTCTTAGTTCTCTTAGCGAGAAAAACGCACAATTCACGTACGAAATGTTGCAAATGTATGAAGATGTAAACTTGTAGCGAAATCACATCCATGGAGGATATTGCTTGGATGTTGAAATTTTGAACTAATGTTATTAGAAGAAAAATATAAAGAGAAGACAATTTAAATTTAATGAACAGCTATTTTTATTCTTCTTCGAGGATCTGATTTCACTACCGGTACATGCTTTCCTTAGAGGCTGTGCATGTCTATGAGACTGTATTGAATTTATCGTGCCACATGCTAGACATGTATATATACCTAGAATATTTCACTATCTTTTTTATTGAGATTAACTGCTTTTAATTGCTTTAATTATTTTTTAATATAAGACAACTTTTCTTTTATTTTAACGCTCTAAGAATCGTAAACGCGGATAATGATAACGAAATTATTTTTTTAAAGTTATCAAAATTCTTTAATATGAAACACGTAAAAAAAAAGTGAAAAACATTTGCAGGTATCTATAAATAAATATACATAAACACTTTCTTTCTCTTTTAAATATTTAATTTTAAGATGTTTCAATATTTCGTATTTGTAATTTGTTTATATTGTTATAATTGGCTAATCGTATAGTGGTATTTTGTACATATGTATATATATTACATGTATAAAGTGCTATGTATGTCTGTATATATATTTATTTTCGTTATAAAAAAAAATTATTTTTTAAAAAATATTACATCACGTTCTATAAATATGTAAATAAATATTAATTTATACATTATAATTCATGAATATAAACTTTTAAGTAAAACTTTTAAACTTTTTTTTAATACTCACTTTTTAACACTCTCATGTATAAGATATAAAATACTCGAATTTCTTTATTAACATATGTCAATAAAGTAGAAAAATTGTTGCTGACCATCAAGTGATAACTAGTGATCTTTATGTATCAAACCTGCTATCGGTAAGATTGTTATCTTTTTTGAAATTATTTTTGATAATTATGTTCAAATGTTTTTACAAACATGTAATGCAATTTATATTTCACTATAAAACAATTTTTCTGATTATCTCCTTGAAATTGTTAAAAACTTATATCAAATTAATGTTGATAATATTTTATCTATATGATCGCGAACGGGAACTTTTACGTCGCCTACATTAGGCGGGTATAAAAGAGAAAAGGGTCGGGCATACGCGCTTCGTGCGCGCGCGCGCGCGCGTGTGTGGTGTGTGTGTGTGTGTGTGTGTGTGTGTGTGTGTGTGTGTGTGTGTGTGC